CGAGTGAGTGAGTGTGTGTGTGTGCTCTCACTCTCTCCCTCTCTCTCCCTCTCTCTCATCTCCCTCGGCTCACCCTCAGCCTCACGCTCGTTACATGTCTTGTCGGTTTTGTTGATTTTACACGGCCTAATTCTTTGCCCTGCTTTAGAGCCTGGGCTGTTTGGATGTTTACGGGTGGCCACAAGTTCTCTGTGGGGGGAATGTATGTTTTGTGGGCCGGCGTGGAAGGCTTTCCCAATTTTTTCAGACCCTTAGCAGGGGGGGTCGGTGCGTTCTTGCTGGAGGAGTCTTCTGTCTTAGGTAAGTTGTATTATATCTTCTTCCTCCTCTTAGGCAGTGACGCGAGTGTGTACTTTGAGATGAATGTCGGGAATGTATGTGCAAGTGTGCCGCTTTGGCGGCAGACGGGTGTGTGGGCACTTGGTGCTGAACCACACAAACGTGGCCAACCTTGCATTTTCTATTTTATTGCCTATCTATACTTTTTCGTTATGGATGGCTTGTGATGATTTGCGAAGAGAATAAGAGAGAGAATATGGGTTCTTTTTAAAACAACACCCACACACTCAAATCTCTCTGTCACAAACACACTCATCTCTCTCTCTCTCACGCACACACATCTATCTCAGCAATCTGTGTGTGTGTGTGTGTGTGTGTGTGTGTGTGTGTGTGTGTGTGTGTTGTGGTCTGAGCAAATTTGTTGTTTAGTTCTGTTGTCTTCAGCCCTTCGTCTTCCACACACACCAAAGCTGTCCAGCCACGGCCCCCGCGCCATGCCCCGCATGCCAAACGTGTCTTTCAGTGTTTTTTGCCTGTCTGATTTCGATTTCAGCGGGCAGAATTTGTCTGTTTGCAATTTTCATTCTTTGCTCCCATGTTTTCTCTTTTCTGAATGTGATCCAGCATTAATCGCACTGAGCTTTGCAGAAATCACACATGGTGTGATTTCGGATGTCCAATCTTGGTTGTGAATGTGTCTCAGGGTCTTGTGGTCGTTGACTGAGGGCCTCACCACACCACTCTCGAAATGTGAAAAATACAAAAATGTGGCGGGTGCATATGGCCATGTTCTAGCCGGAAGTTCATTCTCATTTTGCACATTTCGAGAGTGGTGTGTTGGATACGACAGACAGGCAGAGATGGATGGACACACACCCACAGGGGACACACACACACACACACACACACACACACACACACACACACACACACACACACACACACACACACACACACACACACACAGAGAGAGAGAGAGAGAGAGAGCATGCAACTGTTCATCTATACTCTACAGCTGTTCATAACTTCATAGTAGTTCATACGCTAAAGGAAAAAAGGTAAGAGGGCTTTATCTGTGCACTTCTATTTTTTACTTTCTCTTTTTTTTTCTTTCTTCTTTTTTCCCTCTTTGGACAATTTGTCGATTTATGCGTGTCGTCCTTGTGCAGGGGCCATGTGAATCTTCATTCTCTGTATCGTTCCAATTTTAACGGACGTCCCGAAGGACAGACTTCTCTATTGGTCTTGTGCTCATAAGTGCCATTTTCTTTTCCGTTTCATTTCAGTTCTGAGTCTTCTGACCACCAATATGCAATTCCACTTCTTTGGCAACATCTCACAACAGCTATAGGCAAATCTGTTGAACCGTTTGCCTGATCTTCTGTGCCTATAGCTATAGCCAATTGGAGACTCCTTCGGTTCCTATAAAGTTTAAGTCCTATGGTTATCTCCCAACCTTTCTTTCCGACGCCTGCGGAGCCGTGCTGGTCCTTCTGCTATATAATCTTAACACGTTCCGCATTTTGTCTCCATGTCGACATCAGGCATTGCTGTAAGAAGGTGTTGAGATCGTTTTGGACGAAGCTTGGGAGCCAATACCGATGGAAGTACATCCTCGTGGGGCTGCTTCTACTCTTTTTCGCTGTTCTGTGTCTCATCTTTGAGGATCCTGGAAATTATTGGATGGTCCACAGGTATGGCTTTTCTCTTTCCCTGAATCCCTGTTTCATTCTTGACGCGCGCTAAGCAGTGAAGTGTGTGCACTGTGCTCTTGCAGCAGCAACATCCGTACTACCCGTACGATACTTGTGAAGGAGTTCAAAGGGGTACATCTTAACTCTTGTTCTCTACTTTATTTTTATCATGAAATTCATAGGGAATTTCAATGTGAACCTCAGCCAAAAGGTGTTTGCAATGCATAGGGAATTTCAATGTGAACCTCAGCCAAAAGGTGTTTGCAATGCAATTTACACAACACATTTGTTTTCCGGATTTCAAAGTGAAATTAGTAAATTGATAATAAAATTAAACTAAAGTGCGAGGCATAAGGCCTCGATAAGCCTTACTGGCCCCCTACTTGCAACAGCGTCGGCCGCCCTAAGTGAAGGCAGGCCCGGCAGACAACAAGAGGCCTATTTTGGACTACTTCGCAAAATTCAGGCAGTTGCCCAGCGCCAGTTGGTTGAGAGCGCCCAGGCCCTGGCCTCCTTTATCAAATGCATCTGAGTCAGGCCCTGGGCGAGATACGCAGCATGGACCTAACTCAGACTGCGGGCAGTTGGGCACTAGTAACCACCACAGGCCCTGGGCCTGGTACCTTTGGACTGAGGCTCAGCCTCGTGGAGCCTACCGGTAGTACCGGAAGCTTCTGGGCCGGGGTCCGGTACCGCAGCACGGCACGTAGCAGCAGGCCACTTCGATATAGGGAAGGGCCTGCCTACGCATTGAACATTCGGGCACTGGCTGCATGCTGCGCAAGCGCTGCTGCGCTAATGCCGGCCAGCGCTCACGCGCTCACGGGCGAGCTAGAAGGAGCAGGCAGCCATAGCTGAGCTGCGCTGCTGTATGCTGGATAGGGCGCATGGTGGTCCTTGGGTGCATGTGGCATCTGTGAGTTGGGGATCGAGGTTGTGAGTGATATGAGAGACATACCTGGTGCTTGAACGCGTACGGCATTGGCCGAGATCTGCGCGTACTTCGGGGAGCTGTTGACGTCATAGGAGGCATTGTAGATTAGGCTAGATAGGATCTTCCATCTGTAGTCTGGGCGCCGAGCGCCAGATAGGATATCGACATTGGTTCTTCATTGATGATGATGAGACTATTMCAGCATTGTCAATTATGAGCTTTTGCTGTGTTCTTATTTGGTGAAACTCGTGATGCGATTCTGCTATTGGTTCGACGTCACGACTATCTGGTCTCATGTGTGTGATGCTGTTTGATTTCTGAAGTTCGCGATCGCCCATCTTCCTTGCACAAGAAACAAGGCAAAAAAAAAACAAAGTTAAAAAAACACGTCATATTTGAAATTTGAAAGCAAATAAATCGGAAAAAAGAAAGCGCACCAGTTCAGTGAGTGAATCACCAATTCAATCAAAATTATCAAATTGAATTCTCTGTGTCTTATGGTTATTTTGCACTGGGACGGCTCGGGACCCTCCCTGGACCCCGCTCTGCCATGCCCACTCGGATGGGTACCTGGCGGGCCCTTCCCAGCTGGGTGGGTCGGCTGGTCGCACAGCCTTTTTCTGTTTCGCTTTGTTCACGGCTTCTCTTTTCATTGGGACTTTTCGGTCTTCTTCTTTCTAAATTCTCCATTTTAATTGTCGCTTTTGGGTTCAAGGCTAGGAAGATTTTCATGCCCCGCCAGTCCTGCCCGGTCGATTTTTTTTGGTTTTCTGCGCTCTCTCAGAGGAGCCGAAATCCAGGGTCATTTCTTTTTTTGGGAGTTGGCTTTCAAGGGGGGAAGAGGGGGGTATAAATAGGTTTTAAAAGGGGCTAAAGGGGTTTAAAATCAAACTTCAAACTTCAAAGGGGGGTGCCTTAGTGTGATTCTGTTATTTTCTTTTTCATCTCCGATTCTGTGAGAAATTCTAATGTGACCCTCAGCCAAGCGTCGTCTGTATTGCAATTCTACACAACATGGTTTTTTTGGGGATTTTTTTTTTTTT